GGAGGGGGTTGCCGCACGGGGCTCACTGGGCAGTTGTGTTGGGAGAAGGAGGTTCTGTCCTGGGTCACAGGTCCTGGAAATCATCCTCTGTCCCCTGGGTGGCTGGTCAGGGTAGTACACAGTTTTTTCGTGTCCTTAATCCTGAGCAAACACTGACTGGTGCTTGTACCAGCAAACCATCTGTCAGGAGAGAAGTGTCATTGTCCTTTGGGGAATGTGCTGCCTGTTTCCCTGGTTGTGGACATTCAAGGCCATGGCCTTGCTCACTGTAGGCTCCCTAGAAGGGTCCTCTTTCTCCCCTAGCCCCAGAGCTTCTATGTGTCCACTGTCCCAGCTCAAAATCACAGGTCACTAGACCCCGCCTGGTTACCATCCCCCTTCCTCTCTAATCTTGCTGTGTCTTTCCTGCAGGGTGGTGGCCCACGACATCTCCTTCCCATGGTAAGTGTCTTTGCGTCCTGCCAAACATCAGCCTGCAGCTCTGCACTTTGCAGGCCTAGGGAACATCCCTGGGTTTTGCCTGAAGCCTCTGACTGCTCACGACATACCCCAGTGAGGAGGGTTCCCTTTCGCCCTGGTTGTAAATTGTGCTGGTAGGAGAATGGATTAGCCAGGATGCTGCTGTTTGCTAGGTACAGGAACACAAGTCAAACTGTCTTAGGCTAGAATGGAATTCATTGGCTCATGAATCTAGAAAGTTTAGTAATTGATCTGGAGCTTCAGGTACAGCTGTATCCAGCAGTCGTGAGTCTACTCCCCTACGCTTCTCCAATCCCTACCCTGTGATCTGTGTGGGCGTCCCTGTTTGCTTGCTTTTTACACTTGGGGAAAGGGCAGCAGTTGTCAGCCCCAAGTCTATATCCCTGAAGGAGTAAGAGTCAGTCTGTGCCAAGACCTGTGGGTGACAATTCTGCCTTCTCGGAAACAAGGGCTTTCTCGCACCCATGTCAACCCCCAGGAGGGAACTGTCCCTGTGCCTGGGTGTCGTCCCCTGTAGGTTCTCTGCTCTGGCACTGCCCATTGTGGCCGAGGTCAGGGTCTGAGCCTGGGTCCCTGGGTCCCTGAGGTTTCTGGGCCAAGTGTCAGAGTGTGGGCAATGTTGTCAGAGGGTCGGCCAGTGCATGGTGAGTGGAAGGAGGGAGCAAAGGCTTTCAACTACATGGGGACATGGCAGGTGAGAGAGCTGGGCGTCCAACACGGCGTCTGTGCAGGATGAGCTTTTGGGCGGGAGACCTGGGCACACTCAGGGGTGCATGTGGCAGGAGCCAGAAGGGGCATTGTTTTCACCATATCAGTGACAACCTACAACAAAAGACACTAGACAAGGTGATTTCTAAATATGTAGCGTTGAATTGGGAATGGAAAGAAGCATTATAGTTCAGAATGTGAGAAATGGCAAGCCACTGGGGAATTCAGTGAGGGAAGAGGAAGGGGCTTTTCTTTTTTTTT